CACATTGTCTTCAGATTCCAGACCAGGATTTGCAAGGTCTTGCTTTCAAAGAATTATGGCACACAGTGCTACACACACGCACACATACATGCACACACACACACACACACACACACACACACACACACACACAAACACACAAGAACAGGAGGGGCCAGAACATAATGCACCATCATTTTCACTTCTACCAAACAGGGCAGAGCTAGAAGAAATGGACTGGGACTCTACCAAATGGGAAAGAACAAAAACGGATAAATTGTACTTAACTTTTCCGCAATTCCAGGATTCAGGCTGCACTTTTCTGCAGCCCGAAACACATTTCTGCCATTCGGCCCGTTTCAGTTTTTGGCCTCACTTTTCCGCTGGACACAATTTTGGGGGGGCCACCGAAACTGAAATGGCACTGTTCTAAAGTTATTCCCAAAAAATATTGTCGAAGCCTGTGAAGGAAAGAAGGGGTAAGTGTAACGAAGTTTATGAAAGCAAAGCAATTCTTATGAAGGACAGAGGACAATCATACCATGCACGCCTTCTGCATGCTCATATGTGTTTGGTCCGATCCATAGGCCACGAGCTTAGACATTGCTTCTGCATATGTGAGTCCTTCTGACGTCAGCTTTAGGACAGCCTTTTGGCGGGCAGCCACCATGGCTGTCAGCAATGCCTCACTGGCTGTGCCCTGTATGGCACCTCCACCTTTCCCAGCTACAAACACACACACACACACACAGATGATCAACACAGTCTCTCGACTATGAAGAATACCATCATCATAAAAGAATAAGAATATCATCATCATCATCATCATCATCATCATGAGAAAGGTGCAAGAATGCAAACGCGGCAGATACCCGAAAACAGAAGCGCTGGAAAAGTTACGCCTGCCACAACAGGCAAAAAGAAAAGAGAAAAAAAAAAAAAAAAAGAGTTAAGATGCAGAAAAAACGACCTGCTAGAAAGACCTACAGGAGCACGCCACATTAGCACGAACCTATACGTAAACATGACCAGATGCATGCCAACCTAGCAACAAATATGGCACCCACCAGTGGCGCCTGCTCCTGAGGGAGAATGCAACTCATCTGTGGCCACTATTAATCAAATGTTGACACTTTGGAAGTTTGGAGCTCTAAAAAAGCGACATTGTTAAAAAAAAAAACTGTATGCATCAGATAAGCATGCACTGCAGTGGTATTAAGGGCGATATGCCCTGTAGTAACGGTAAACAAAACAACATCCTTGGTAGTAAGTACTAGTAAAAAATGGAAAAGTAACAAATAGAAAAGTAACAAATGGAAAACGCAACAACATACTGCATGGTACTAATGGAAACCACAACAACATTCTAACTGAAGCCACAAAAACACTCTATGCTGCAGTGACTCATTCTACAAGAGCTGCTGTGTGACGTGCAAACGCACTATGGGACGCTGGGCCCGATTCCCAGCACATGTAACTTGAACATCTCCGCCAAGCAACTCAATTACACAACATTGTCCTCGAACAAGGTGGGTGACTATGGCTGCCTAGCAAGCTCTCTCAGTCGTGGTCTCTCTTCCTCAACCTCGCTTCTCTCTCTCTCTCTCTCTCTCTCTCTCTCTCTCTCTCTCTCTCTCTCTCTCTCTCTCTCTCTCTCTCACGCAAGCATGCCAAATAGCTAAGGCTATTGGTGCCCAGCGCCAGAGACTGCTTCCTAACAACACACAGCAGACTACCCCAAAATAGTGCAAGAGCACTTCCACATCGACTCACAAAGCAATATGTCTTGACAACTTCCACAACTGGACTTTGTGCTTGACAATTCGTCTTCCGGACTTCCTCTACCTGTTATGGTCCTGCCAATGTTTTTCGCTTCAGACGTTTGCAAGCTTTCTTCTGGGACTTTGCTGCTACTCAACTGACTGACAAAAAGGGACTAGTGCCTTCTACAGACTTTTCTTACCGCTACCAGTACCTACCGGAACCGTCCTACTGTGGCCTACTGCCACTAACCTACCTGGGAGGTGGGAACATGGTACACGTGACTCGGACTTAGGCTGGGACTGGGAATTGGAACTGGACCTGGGAGTGGGATCACGGCTGCACCGCTGAAATCCTTTCACAATGGTCAGAAAGAACAACAGCAACAACAACACTCTAACGGAAAATACACCAGCATCTTTGGTGGTTCTGACAGAAAACAGAACAACACACTACCAGAGAACACAACAACATCCTTGATGCTACTAGCAGAAATCACAACGTCCTTCAAGTTGGCGGTGTACTAACAGAAAACACAACAACATCCTTGGTAGCCACAAACAGAACAACATCCTTCCTAACCGCCAGCACAATACAACAACATCCTTGGGGTTAACTTGGTAACGGCAAACACGATAACATCCTTACTTGGTAGGTTGGCAGCATGACTGCAGACGATAGGACCGACCTCCATTGGCAAGTTCCGAAACAGTTAAAAGCTGCAGCAGCATCTGTCTAGTCATGGGGGCGATAAAGATGGATAACGATGGATGGCTGCCGCATTATGAAGGCATTATACTTGAACAATAAAAAAAGAAGTAAATATTATTGCTGATGAGGACAAACATGATGTCCGTGTTTTCCACAAACCTGACATGAACGACTCTGGCAGTGCCAGCAACCTTGCTAACCAGTCAAGCACTATCATCTCAAGCTCTGTAGAGGAGGGAGATGTGATCCAGCTGAATCCAATGGTGCCTAATGCACTGCAGACCATCTCTCCCAGCAAGCTTGCTGTGCCCCCACCCGATGGATAGTACGCAAAGAAACTTGGGCTCCTCCAATGGGTCACTCCTGGTAAAATCTTTGTCTGAAGGTCTGCAAGCCACAACAACACAGAGGCAGACACCAGGGCGAATAAGCTCTTGTTGTTCTTTTTCTCTTTGTTTTCTCGTTTTTTAACTTTCTTCTCTTCTTTTCTTGTTCTTTTTTTTTTCTTTTTTTTCCCCTTTTGTCTTTTGTTCTCTTTCCCCCCCCTTAGGTTAGCAGGGGCGGGTGTGCCCAGCCGGGCACCCCCGTTCAGGTCCCCCAGCTGTCCGGCTGCGCGGGGTACCCCGAGCATGCAAACAATCATCATCATCATCTTTACCATTCCACCATAACTCGGGTGGGACCGCACAGTGGAATCATCATCATCATCATCAATCATCATCATCATCATCATCATCATTTGCTTGTAAGGCGCCTGGCAGGATGCAGAACCACCAGGCTGCCTTCTTGATGTGAAAATGCCTAGTTGAACCCGGGCACACAGGCCATCCCAATCCCGACCGGGTGACTCGCCTGGCGGGGCAGCTCTTCCAGGCAGCTGTCAGTGGACCGTGTGCCCATGAAAATAGCCCGGTTTATTTCTTCTTCCAAGGTAACCCAAGACCCAGACGCCAGACCAATGCGGACAAAAAATGGAACTCTACTCGGATAGATCCGCACCTGGACTGTTGAGATGGGGTACCTGGACCCCTAATATGACCAGATCCACAAAACAAAAAAAGAAAATTAGTTGGAAAGAGGGAGAGAGAGGGATTTGAATCTCACATGGATTCTTAAAAAGGTCATTCACCCGTCAGGGAACATTCAAGCAACATGAAGAACAGTTTTTCAAAGATCAGTTTCTCGTGCAAGGAAAATGCGCCATAGTGAACTTCAGAAACCAAGCAGCATCATACACATGAGAACAGATAGTCGTGACCTCGAACCAAAAGCAGAATTGGATCACGAGTCCCTCCAAATAATAGTACAGCAAAAGCTCATGAGTGACAATGTTCAAGTAGTCTCATCATCATCAACAAAGAACCAACGTCGACATCCTATCTGGCGCTCGGCGCCCAGACTACAAATGGGCAGATCCTATCTAGCCTATATACAATGCCGCTGGTGACGTCAACAGCTCCCCAAAGTACGAGCAGATCTCGGCCAATGCCGTTCGTCTCAGGCACCAGGTATGTCTCTCGTATCACTCACAACCTTGTTTCCCAACTCACAGATGCCACATGCACCCAAGGACCACCATGGGCCCCATCCAGCATACAGCAGCGCAGCTCGGCTATGGCTGCCTGCTCCTTACAGCTCGCCCATGAGCGCGTGAGCGCTGGCCAGCGTTAGCGCAGCAGCGCTTGCGCAGCATGCAGCCAGTGCCCGAATGCCCAATGCGGTGGCAGGTCCTTTCCTAAATGGAAGTGGCCTGCCCGCTGCTGCGGCCAGGCTGAGCTGGGCCCGGGCCCGGAAGCTTCCGGTAGGCCCGAGTGTCTGAGCCCCAGTCCATACAGAACAGGCCCAGGGCCTGAGTTAGTTGCCCGTACCCAACTGCCCTCAGCCTGTGTTCCGTCCGTATGCGCGTCTGGCCCAGGGCACACTTCAGATACATTTGCAAAATGGCTGCCTGGGCCTGGGCGCTTGTAACCAACTGATGCCACGCAACTGTCTGGATTTCCCCATGTTGTGTGGTGGCCTGACAAAGGGGGGCCCTCGGCCATAGTCGAGCCTGCCTTCACTTAGGGCGGCCGACAACACTGCAAACAGGGCCAAAGGGGCTCATCGGGGCCTTAGGCCTCGCATTCCCTCCTCCATACTTCGAAAGTCCTCTGAGAAGTTCAGTCTTCAATAATCTGGCGCTTTCCCTTCTGCAGAGACTTTTCATATTGGGCAACAGCCTGAGGAGCGGTCTGCATCAGTTCCTCCCTGGTAAACCATCGATCCTCCTTTGGATCAGTGTGGTGTCTGAACCGAACCCGGTACTCCAGCTTTGGTTTCGGAGGACGTCCCCTGCCTGTTGGTCTTGGAACTGGCATTTCCTTGTGATCAACGATGTCGTCGATGTCGACCTCTCCATCCATGGTTGGGGGCAGCATTGAGCGACGAGAGAGAAACTGATCTGTTTCCCTGAAAGGTGCGAGTTTGGAAGCGTGAAACACAGGGTAAGTACGTAAGTGACCAGGGATGCGAATAACATATGACCACCCATCCGGTTCATCCCCAGCAACATCTAGGACCTCCCATGGTCCAAAGTACTGCGGCATGAGCTAGAGGGAGATCCCGTGCTCCTGTCCCAGTTCTGAGGACTTAACCCAGACTTTCTCCCCTACCTGAAATGTAGATGGGCGGCGGTGCTTGTTCTCAGACTCTATCATCGCCCCCTGTGCCTTGTGCATCTGTTCAATAGCCCGCTGCATCAGACGCTCATACCGATAAGCAAACTCTACGGTTCCTGGTGCAGCAGAAGGCTGGTTCTCGGGTAGTAGGAAATCCAAGGGCAGCCTAGGATTGAATGTCAGTAACAGGCTGTTCGGGCGCACTCCCGTTGCGCTGTGCACAGCGTTATTGTACAGGCTAGTGATGAGAGCAAGTTTCTCATCCCAGTCCACCTGATTTGGCTTGATGTAGTGCCTCAGCAGGTGTTGTACAGCGCGGTTCAACTGCTCTGCTTGCCCATTCGCCTCTGGATGGTTCCCTGATGTCATCTGTAGCTGTGTTCCCTGTTCTGCAGGTGCGGCTTTCCACAATTCACTAGTAAATCGCACATCACGGTCACTCACTATAGATTTCGGCAGTCCAAAATCTCTGACCCAGTTCTGTTTGAACAGCTTAATCACATACTCGGTCTTAGCTGTTGCAGGCATTGCTTAAACGGTATTCACCAGTTCGCAGTAGCGAATGCAGATCCCAGGGCTCGATCCCTAGTTCCCCGTTTTACCTGTGTACAGTACCAGTGTCAACCCGTAGATTTGATCCTGCGACCTGTAGGACCGCCAGTGGTAGGTAGATTTTCGTAGGTCACAGGGTAGAAGGGAATCGAACTGTAGACCTGTAGGGTAGGAGTATAGACAGTTCCAAGGTCGTAGTTTTAGGATGTCTGAGGGGTCAAGGTCGTAGCTGCTACTTACCTGAAGGGGCAAAGTCGTAGCTGCTACAGTACCGAAAGGCCAAATTAGAGGTTTCTAGAAATGGCCTTTCGGAGTGAGGCTGCGTTGAACAGAGGCAAGTGGTCAAGTGGTGGAAGGCCACCTCGCTGAGTCAACAGTCCCAGTTAGGCAGTCCGGTCCTGTCCAGCAAGTACCGTCTGGGACTGTGTGCACCAGGGGCCAAGGGACACAGGGCAGACCAACGCAGCACAGAAGTATAAATCAAGAGGCTGCGTCCAGCCATTCATTCATTCCTGCAGAAGCCATGCGGAAGCGCTGCCTCAGCAGCTTGTGCGAGGAGGTCTGCAGAAGGCCCGAAGACGAAGTGGGCGAGAGTGACGCACTGTAGTCATAGCAGTAGGGTAGCGGCGGCCATAGCCGCCATAGCTGTAGTATAGGGGAAGAGTGTGTGTACTGCGTGTGTATACTGAGTATCGCGTGTGGGACATCCAGGGTGGTCCAGAGTGTGAACGGCGAGTTTGTCTGAGGCGCACAGTCGCCACAGCCAGTGGAAGCGAACTGTTACTTGGAAGCCATATCTCTGAGTTCTGTGTGGGCGCATGGCGCCAGTTTGTTGTTCTGCTGTCCACGTGCGTAAAAGGTGTGAATAAGTCGAGTCTGATTGCACTAGTATCAGAGCTGGTACCCGCTGTTCCGCGCGCGCAGTCGTGTGCAGGGTCGATGCGTCATAGCTGAAGTGGCCGCTGGAGAAGACAGTCCGCCATAGCGGACTTCGAGGTGGAAGAAGCCGCCGTGCACCTGCAACAAGAAGACCACGACGAAGAAGAAGATCGAGAGAGAGAGAGATGAGAGATACAAGATTGGGTTCTTACCTGCTGCGCTGAAGATACCGCTACGGCGGAAGAGAGAGAGAGAGAGAGAGAGAGAGAGAGAGAGAGAGAGAGAGAGAGAGAGAGAGAGAGAGATGAGCGATCCAAGATTGGTTGTCACTTACCTGTGANAGAGAGAGAGAGAGAGAGAGAGAGAGAGAGAGAGAGAGAGAGAGAGAGAGAGATGAGCGATCCAAGATTGGTTGTCACTTACCTGTGAGGCGAGTTGTGTGGTCCGGAGGAGAAGGGAGAGAGCGGCCATAGTCGCGGAGTATCGATACAGGGTGCTGAAGGAGAGAGACAGGGAGGACAGAGAAGGAGGGACTAAGGAGAGAGAGAAAGAGAAGTTTGGAAGGAGGACGTTGGAGAAGAAGACAGACATAGCCGGAGGTGAACAAAAATAATAATAATAATAATACAGAGAAAGTGAAGAAGAAGAAGAGTGAAGGAAGGGGAAGTAAGCGGCGAGGGTGACGAAGGTGAAGGTGCCGGCAGCCATAGCCGAGGTGAAGGGTTGACCAGGCGTTGACCGAGGGTGTTGATCAAGCATTGACTGGGGGTTGCCCGCGTTGACTCGGCGTTGACCAAGGCATTGACCGGAGCTGCTGACCAAGATTTTGACCAAGCTGGAGTTGGTGATATCTCGCTGAGCCCTTAGCCTATCCCCTTACCCTGTGGATGTGCACTCACCCTACGGTACTTGCTGAGTTTGAGTCTGTTTGTCTTTCCTTTCTGCATTGAGTCTCTTCTGTCCTAGGTGTTAGGACTCTGTGGATGAAGGATAGGGCCTTGCTACCAAACCTGCACGGGACTTAGTAGGACTAAGCTCTACTCTGGAATCTGGAGACCTGGGCATGAGCGGCGAGCGCTCGTCAAACAACTCGTCTAGCACAATGACTTATACTGTCCGGCAGGTCTACTGAGTTCAGTGTAGAGCGTCCGAACTCCGAGCTGTAGGTTGAAACGAAGGTCGTCTTTAAGCGTTGAGGCCTGGTTGAACCACTCCCCTACCGGACCCAGTAAGGCTGATGATCTGTGTCTGACGACTCGGCTGTCCCGAGGGACACGAACCCCTCCAAGGACCGGTACA